ACAGCCTTGAAAATATTTTAGATTAGTTAAAATAAGTCTTTCTTCAAATAAATATTTATTTCAAACTTTTTCTGAACTATACAAAAATCCTTAAGACAAATATAATAATTAAATTTTTCTACCCGTGCACAGTTGTTGGGAGAAAGAAGAGCTCTCGGGTTCTGGGGTTCTGGGGCTCTGAATCCAAAGCTGGAGGAGATGAGAGCCTGAACGAGAACGGCAACGACAACGACGACATTTACTGTTTACCTTGATTATTTCATCAAAGTTTGAAAATATTTACATTGGCATTCCGAGCTTGGAACGTGATGTAGATATTTATACATGCCGTAGCCGTTTCGTTGCCATTGTCGTTGCCTTTGGTTTTGGTTTTGCCCCTGCCGTAGTTCCATCCCAATGCCATCCCAATTCCAACCCAGCAGACGGTGGCCGTATAGATATGGCTGTAACTGTAACTGTAACCCCAGCCAAACAGGAAACAATCCAAGCAGATTCCCCCCAGCTTCTTTGCATTGTTTGTCTGGTGCCCTGATGCTCTTCTGTTTCTGGTTCTTATTTTTTGGGGCTCTTCTCTTACCGGGCAAAATGCCAGAACAATAAGTTTATTTTGATACACAAAATTAATACGTTGTTGGCATCAGCTCATGCATCGCATCCACCTCGTCACTCAGTCAATCAGTCAGTCAGTCAGCCAGTCAGTTAGTCATTCAGTCAGCCAGCCAACTTCGACACTTGCCACTTGTAAACGACATTTTATTAGTAAAGTTTATTTAAATTCGTTAAAGATGTGTGTCTGGGTATTTGTGCTTGTGCTGCCATTTTGGGTACCTCCCTCGAACACCGAACATTGAAGACCGAACAACGTGGCTGCCGCATTCGTATTCAAAAGATCAACATATTGCGTTACGTGGTGTATTTTAAATTCAAAATTGACTTTCGAGCACTTACAGGCGACACAACAGCAGTAGTCAGCATCGATGGGCGGGGATATTCGAATGGGTATCCAAGGAGCCACGATGCCAACGAGCTAAGGAGCTAAGGAGCTGACTCGACGACCTCCTTATCGCAATGCCGAAATCCCCAAGGGTGGCACTGATTTGCCGGGGGAAAGGTCGACGGAGGAGGAGTAGGAGGACTGGGTCGGCAAACTATGACCCAGTGAGATCACGGATAGGCACTGAGCAGCCGGCTCGATTGAATTGTTTCTGTGTAATCGCTTTCAGTAAGTGAATTTCACTCCCTCCGCCCAGCTTAAATAACTCGAGGGGAGTGGCTTGGCGACTTAATTGAAGCTTTGGGTTGTAATCACGTCGTTTAGGTGTTTGCTGGTGTAAAAATCTGTTCATTTCGTGTTACTCTACTAGCATTAGAGCTTTGCGAACGATTGACTTCTATTTTTGATGTTTAAGAAGAAGGTGGTTTTTGAATTTGCACAATTCAATTGTAATTTGGGGCAGTTTTCTATTATTTCATTATTGGAATTATTAGTTTTTTTTTACAAATAATATTTAGGGTATATTCTTAACAAAATGCATTTTACTACATTTTATTTAAATTTTGTTGGGATTCTATTGTGATTGTAAAGTAAGGAATTTGATGGGAAAATTAATTAATTAATTATCTGGTAGATAAGAATATGAGAAGTATAAATTCTATCAAAAGACTCCACATATACAGAAGTCCTTTCTGTACTTTGCTTACACCCAAAAAAACACTTGATATGAAACGATAATCGATTTGATGTTACGTGGTATCAATTTTGACTTGATATGCTCGAATTCTGAGTGAGACAGTTCAAATTTCGAATGTCTCTTTCTCCTTACCACTCAAGTAACTATAAGCGCTATCGCGCTTATTTTCGAATTGATGTCGCCAAATTGCATATTACTCTTTTTTACTCTCTTTTCTTTTTATAGCAGACATTTACCATGCGCATATCGATTTGATCCCGGTGTGTTTTTTTCTGTGTGTATTAATAAAGCTCAATGCGATTGGTGGTACATTCTTTCGTGAGTTCTGTAAAACATCATAATACCTAAGAACAATCCTATTCATCTCCAAATAGATTATGAGTACTTTTGATAACCAGACCATCTGAAGGAAAAGCCCCAGTTGCTGTTTCGCCGTGATCCAAATTCTCTCTGGCAAATAAATGTTGGCAACTGAGAAATCAGGACAAAAAACACTTGATTCGTGCTCAAAGCGTTTTTCTGACAGCTGCCTCTGCCTCAACCCTTTTCTCCTTCGCCGGGTTGGTCGATCTGGGGGGAATAGTTTCAAGACTGGCAGAGCTGAAAGTGGAAACTCAAAGCCGGGACTGGAGCTGGAACTGAAGCTGCATCTCAAGCTGAAGCCGAGGACGAAGTGGAAGTCGGGGGAGGACTGAGAGCGGGCAAGGAATAAATACATAACTGAATATGACACGTTCGCCGCAAAGTACGGGAGAAGCCAAACAAAAAACAATACGACAAAGTGTCATAAAAGTTGTATACAAAACTTAAGAAGTAGCTGCAGCAACAATTACCCACTGTGAGGCGAACGGGAACAGAACAGAACAGGAATCAAGTGGAGCAAGTGGGGCAAGGACGAAGGACGAAGGACGAAGGACGAAGGACTAAGCACTCGGAAAATGACATAGGCAACTGCAATTGTTGCAACTTGTTGTGCAAAAATAATAAGGAAGTGAACTTAAAATGATTACACGATAAAGTTTTACCCTGCAATTTGCCATCGAAGTGGAACAAAGGCTGCGGCTGCGGCAAGAAGGCGAAAAGCTAAAGCAAAAGATTTACATCCACAATCTGCAGTTGTTGAACTTTGCATTTAGGGCTGCATGTGGATGGCAATTGATTGCGCTGCTCTTTTTTCGCTTTTTCCCCTTTTTGTGTTTTGTAACTTTTTCGGAATTTCGATTTTCTCGAATACCCGCAACGATATAATACTGGTGGTGGCCACATCCTGTGCGTCCTTTTCGCCGGGACAGCCGACACGCTTTCATTTGTATTCAATATGATTTTGGCAGGCCATAAAAAAGCGTTTAACAATGAAGGCTGAGGGGATAGGGATTGTTGGATTGGAAATGGGGAAAGGGTTTGGGATTGGGTTCGTGAACAGCTATGAATTGTGCGGCCAAAGTGAGTCAAGTGCGGGTGCTGAGATTTTCATTTCATATATTGCCCACAGCAGCTGCTGGGCCATAATCATCATCATAACGTTTCAGAGATGCTTCTGTTTCTGTTTCAGTTTCTGTTTCCGTTCCTATTCCCCTTCTCGTTTCCGTTTCCGTTTCGCAGCCCTCACAAATGCGTCTATATGGTGCGGCCATCTAGACATGGCCAAAGTTTATGGTAAATGCCAACTATTTAACGCTTATTTCAGTAAATTTCCACCCCCCACCCCTTTTGGGCGATGATGTATGCCTTTCGGAGAGTGTCGGCTATTTATGCGGGTTACGCTCCACTGCACATGGTGCGAAATTCGCATTCATTTGTAAATGTTTTATATAAAATATAAAAATGCCAGTGGACACACGGATGTACATATATTAAGGCTTTGATTTTAATTAAATGTGAAAAGGTAATTATTGGAGTGCACACATGAATATTAAAAACCCAAAACGACCCAAAAATAATACTTAAAGATACAAATTTCGGTTATTTACTTGTGTTATTTGGTGGGAAATATTTAATTCTGATTTCGGAATTTGTTCGATATGATTTTTGGTAAGTTTATCTCAAGTACAATATAAATAAATACATTTTACGAAAGGTCAGGGACATATAAAATCATTGATTTATTCTCCACAATTAAACCAGCTCTGACTTCATTGGTAAATTATTTGGTTTGCCTTGAGGAGTCGGCTGGAATTTCCAAGATATTCGGGATCCAATCCAAAGCACCCGGGGGTGTATTATAAAGTCATGTTATCCTGGTGCGATTGTACAAACACAAATGAGGGTTAGGTAGCGTTTTTGGGCGAAAGTGCCAAGGGAGTGGCCTTGTGTTTGTGCATCATTTGATTAACGTAATCGAATGACACGCCATATGTCAGTCATCCAGAGAGGCAGTCACCCGAAGACGGCCGACTCATCTCCAACCCCATTACCATCTTCATCCCCATCCCCATTTCCATCCTGCGGGCGAGTTAAACGAAGTAAGTCGGTAAAAAGTCACCAGGGCGTACATGTGAAAGTCACTTGGGCTCTCGCTCGCATGTCTCTGTTTGATAAACAATTGACACTTATACGGCAGGGCGGATCTGGGGGCGCACACAACACATGTAGCAAAATCAATTTTCACCTTTTCACTTGATCAATTTCTTAACGGCAATGAAAAGTTTTCTGCGAAGTAAGCTGAGCGCACGGCTGCGGAATGTCAAGCAGGCCAGGAAGGCAGAATGTCGGAGCGCCAGGACTTCAGGACTCTCTGCCAGGATAAGTGTGAGCCGAGTTGGAGGAGCAGGAGGCAGGAGGCAGGCACAGATAGCATCATTTGCATTTCCATGCACACCCCCGCCCACCCACACGCACGTTAACAGTTAGTTGGGCTGCGGAAGTGAGTTCCGGTGGAGGGGGTGGAGTATGGGTATAGGCATGGGTAAGCACAGTGGTCTGAAATGTGCGAAATGGGAGATAAATAATAACCCTTCGAGAGTTGAACAAATTATTACAGAGGAATTCACAGAATTCAAAATTGGCTTTTCAATAATTTCATACATCTTTAGAAAAAATATTATAACTATAATACGATATACCCCCTGCAAAAGCATATATTTGCGAAAATGTATGCAAAAACACTTTTATAAAACGGCAAACGAGTTCGTTTTCCGTGATATCAGCATCTGGAAGTTGTTGACTCATTTTATAATTATAATTTTAATCAGTGCTGACGCAAGTTGTTGACAACCTACGGCTTTTATCACCAATTCCTAAGGTTTCCTTTCTTACAATCATTTTCAGTACGCCTTGAAAGTTCTCTTGGAGCAGTTATACTAAATCAACATGCGGAGTTTTGTGCCTTTTATCTTCGTCCTGAATTTCTTCGGTCCTTTGAGCGCCCTCCAGGATAATGATTCTTCTACCTGCAAGCTAACCGATGCTCCAAATCAGTGTGGAGCATTTTGCCTGTCCGCACTGCATCCTCTCATAGACAACAATCACAAGAGCCAGAAGAAGTTAAATCGGATTGAGCAAGGAGTGGAGTTCCTAAAAAATATTTCCAAAGGACCACTTGGGGCTGTCAACTCGGAGATCAAGAATGAATTGCTGCAGTTGCTGCTAAGCAAAATGAAGGATCAGGAGACCAAATTGGATGCACAATTTCTGGCGCTGGAGAAAACCCTTCTGGAAACCCATGCCGCTTTCTATCACAAGATTATCTATCCGAAGTTCGAGCGGATTGGATCTAGATATTTTTATATCGAACATAATATCAAGAAAACCTGGGATGAGGCTGCAGAAACATGTCGTGGAATGGGCGGCTATTTGGCGGCTTTTAAAACCGAAGAGGAATTCTCAACTATAATACAGAAACTTAGAAGAAAATATGTGTGGTACTGGACTGGCATCAAATATTCGAAGGAAGATGGACACTACATATCCACAGCCTCCGGGAAGCCTGCTGAAGTTCTTAATTGGATGGCGGAAGAGCCCAGCAATAACGGTGCCTGCGTTGAAATAGATCACAGGGGGATGGATGATAACGATTGTGGTTATAGAACCTATTTTATTTGCCAATCAGATAATGAAACATAAATCTAAAAATTTCTTTTAAAATTCGTCAGCACACACATGTATGTGATTAAAGTATATCAAATAAAATTGTAAACAAAAATTGTACTTGTCTCAACAAAAAGTAGCATTATTTAAATGTCTCAGCGGAAAATGGGCATTAAATTAAATTAAATTAAATAAATTGTTATCGCAACTGTGTTCCTTTATTGCACACATCACGTCACTGTGCATTGCAGCTTTCTCACTTTTCGTTTCGTTGCGTCCCATTAAAAATTATGTTGAAAAGAAAAGCAGACGGAGGCGGAGCAGCAGAAATAACACACGGACATGGTCACGGATGCGGCTGATTCGGATACGTTGCGAAGGAGATGGGACCTCGTCCTCCTACTCGTCCTCGTCCTCGGCCGGAAGCAGCAAATTTTCATTTTATTATACCCGTTACACGCTGAGAAAACAGGGGCCTCAAGTGCTTTCGACCCCATAAAGTATATGTAATTTTTTAATCGGCCTTTAATTAGGGTCGATTCGTTTGGTCGTTGGCACAGCTGAATATTGTTAAATATAATATTTGATAGTTGGAGTTTATAATTAAAAATCTTTAGCAATTGAACATTTATCTAACTTAATTTATTTATTTAATACTTTTATATTATAGGGTATCTCATTGTCGGGCCATTTAAACTGCCGCTTTCATTCATGTTTATTTTGCAAAGTGGCCCGACAAGCGGCTGCAAAGGGTAGGGGAAAGGGAAAAAGGCCAGGAAGCGGCACCGACGTGTCACGGCCCTGACAGGAGTCGTGTCACGGCAACAGGGCGGATGAAGTTTGCTTCATTGGCTCAGCATAATTGTTTCCTTTTGAGCTCCGGCTGCTCCGGCTGCTCTGACTACTCCCCTTCGCCACAAGCCCTCTGAAATTTACATGCCGACTCAGGCGAGTGGAAGTGAGTGGACAGAGGACAATGGAGACTGGGACAGAGACAGGGACATTGGACAATGGCCAGGTCCTGGAACGAATCTGTATCTGTATCTGGACGTGGTCCTGGTCCTGACATGTCCTGACTGGCGTCGACAGGCGATAATGATGCTGGCCGAAGATCGTCGGTTCAACTGGTTCTCCGGCCCCATGGAGAGTCGGGGTCGCTCACTAATTGATTGACCTGCCCAATTTTATGGCCTGTCAATGTCGCTGATTGACTGACCGACTGACTGCCTGATTGACAGATGCACGAGGCGTGACTGCCTCACATCCAACACCACTTTCACATCCACATCCACATCCACATCCATTTTGTGCGCTGTTACTTTTAGTGCGACTCGTTGGCCACGGCGATGACCTCGAGATTGGTTGTGCAGCTCTTAAACGGACTCGCCCGCAGCGGCCACAGCCACAGAAGTCGCATTTGATTGACCAATAAAACGGGCTGGATGACCAAAATGAAGCCCCCGAACAGCAACAAGAGCAATAACAACAGGAACAAGAACAAGCAGCGAATGCCGTTTAATGAGTATGTTTCGGTGCTTATTTTCAGGCGCAAAATGAAAAACTGGCGCCCAACGTGGGGCCTTCGCTCGCGAAAAAGGGCTGTAAGAATGGACTGAAAGTGCTTTGGCCCGCGCTTCTCCGCTTTCCTTTTCTTATTAGCAATTGATGTGCATACAAAATACAAATTAATTTTGTCATCCGCAGACACATCTATATCTCAGTGAGCTGGTGTTTGGTTTACGTTTCCATTGCCGTTTCCCTTGGCCTCTTTGTGTCCCGGCTTACAGCAAATCGAAAGAGGAGCGAAAAATTGCCACGCAGACATAATGGCAACGTTTGAGGGGCCAAGTGGAGAATTTGAATGGAATCCTATGTCAAATGCCACACAGACCTACTCGATTGTATGACTCATTCACACACACTCAACGAAAAGGGGAAGCAGGAGCAGGGATCTCCCATGCATACGAGAGGTACTCAGTTCGTCAGTCAGTCAGTTCGTCAGTCAGTCAGTCAGTTAGTCCGTCTGTCAATGGGACAGACATTTTGCTAACGTGAATTCGTGAACGAATGGCAATGGGGAAAGGGGGGGAGCGATATTCTCAACGATGTTCCCCATTACAAATTCAATTACATGCTTAGCTACACTTTAGAGAAATTGAATTTTTATGTGCATTTATATTTAGTATATTTTTACATCCCCCACTCCATGTTCCAGGTGGTAGTACTAGTACTGCGGCTAGAGGAGGAGCAAATGGCAGTGGCAGTGGAAATAAGCAGGAGCTCGAGGCTCTGCGGTTAGCTAAGGGATTCCATCAGCCATTTTCATAGTCGCATCGAGTCGACATCTTAATCTCCGAGCTGTGCATAAGTGGAATTGAAACTGGCCCCCTGGCCATAGCCTCCATTACGGCTCCACTTTGGCCTTTAGCCAGAAATAGATCGCTACGGCTTGTCTAACTGAGGCGACACCTTAATTATGGCATTTGCCAGACGAAAACGAAAAAAAGAGAATCTATCTTGCATTTGGCTTAACTGCATCCCTATCCCTGCATCCCAGCAAGGAGACGCAGGAAGGATGCGTGACAGACAAGAGAACAAGGCATTGTCTCCTGACGAACTAAATTAGATTTCGGTTTGGCGAATGCCAGGGCCAAGACTTGGACCGCCACAAAACCACGCAGCACAGTTTACACACAGAACAAAGTGCCCTTACGGCTTTTTATTTTGCTTAATTTTGAATTTGGATTTTATTTGAAATTGGGATCCGGGATTTTGGTAAAAATATGAATTTTTCCTTTTTGTTTTAATGCTGTAACTTGGCCAAAAATAATCCTACTCCAAAAATACATACTGTTTTGAACAGATAACAAAATTATAATTATCTCCATAGCACTTTCCGTGTGACTTTTTAAAAATAAAATTTTCGCCAATTTTTATTTTCTTTTAAAAGGGGGTCATCATGATTTTTTGCGAAAAATGTAAAACAAATAAAATGTCTAGGTTTAAATGCCAATTGATTGGAAATTTAATAACGAGTTTAGAAAGGTATGAAAATCCATATTTGGATCTACATTTCCATTGTTTCGGTCAAAAAACTAATTTTTTTTGTGAAAAATTGGTAAAAATATTAATTTTTCCTTTTTGTCTTTTGCTTTAACTTTTCGAAAAATGGTCCTACAAAAAAATGTAATCACATTTTATTTTAATATGCCTAGATAATATTCCAAGGAAATATTTAAATATATATTCAGAATTATTTTTAATTAGTGGCGGATGCAGAATTTGGTTGTTGGAGGGGATTTCAAAACGAAATGCTTTGTTGCGTACTTTTTGAATACCTAATATATTTTTATTTTTCACCCTTTTACTTGTTGTTATTTACTATAAACTGTACATTTATTTTGTTAGCTACTTATCTTATTGTTTTTGAGTGTAGATGGATGGCTGCCATTAATGTCGCCGGCTCCCTCAACTCGGGGCACGATCCGCACATGTTCATCGCACGCACCGACTCCTCATCTCCATTCCCATCTCCATTCCCATCCCCATGTGGATGCGAATGCGCTGCAGAGAAAGGAGAAGCAGGAAAAGCGGAGTGCATTGTAGACTTGTAGCCCCGGTCTCTGGTGGCCTCGGAGCTCCGGAGCCCAAAACTCCGAGTGGTTTAAGGCTTGCTTCTTTCGGCTCTTGTGCGGCCTCTCTGGGTCGGCCTTTAATTTTAAGACCAAAATAGCGAAATAACATGAAAGGCCAACCCCACGAATGGAATGGAATGAAATGGAAACAATGCTCGAAATTATTATGCCCCAGCGCGACAATCTCCTTCTCCTTCTGCCTCCTTGCGGCTCCTCTTTAACTGCAGTGGAAGAAGAGTCCTCGAACTTTTGGCCCCAGCCAGACAATGATTCCTAATTCCAAATGATGGTCACGGGCAAGAAGGAGATGGCTGGCTGACTGTCTTTCGCTGCAGACCAAGTTCCCTGGGCTAATTGAAGCCACTGAGTCACCGCAACTCGGTGAGGGTATGCAGTCTTTGACTTGGTCGTGCAGTTTCAGTTTTCGGTTTTCAGTGTTTCAGTGTTTCGGTCCCTCTTTCTTTTTGGCTGCTTGTCTTCTCTGCTGGCTGGCTGGCATTCCATTTCAATTTGTTGCAGTTACTTTAAACAATTACCAAGGCACACGAACAGCTGCAGCGGAGAATGGTAGAGAAAAAAGCCAAATAAAGTGCTGCCACTGTTGGTGACCCAAACAGGTCGAGTTTTGTTCTTTTGAAAATGCCCCAATATAATTTAATGACGAGCAAGGACAAGAGAGAAAGTCTCTGTGTGTAAATCTGTAAATTTTATGCGACAATTGAGGCAAGAATGAAATTTGGGCCAGCCCCGAAAAATGGGTAAGGATGCGCTTTTGTGGTCGGGAATTTGGGACTTGATGATTTGATGAGGCGCCTTTTCACATATCCCAGATATCCTATAACCAATCCTGCAGCCCCCCTCTCTTCCGCTTTCGACTCCTTTTTGTACGTAAACGTGGAATACAAATTGCACTCATTTTAGTTTCTCACGTTTGTTGCATGTTGTACATGACTGCAACGCGCACGCACACAAATTGACACACACAGGCACACGGACACATGCATATGCACATGCCCCAAAAGGAGGTAGGCCTCGACCTCTGCTTAGTCCTGGAAAATACCCCCAACCCCCTTCCACTGATACCTTCGTCCGTTCTCGATTCCAGGACTCCGACTCCCAAACGCCCATGCCCGCAGCTTCGCCTGCTGCTCTGTTTTCCTGTCGCTTCATCGGCATGCGACAAACGGAAATGTTGCTTTTATGCTTTAAATATGGCAACTTTGTGGTGCCGACAGACACACTCTCACACTCAAACGGTGGCTCGTAGATACTCTCACGCACACACTGCCGCATTCAGCACTCGGGAAAAAAGTCGACTTACTCAAATGTGGGATAAAACATTTTTAAATTGGAATTATATTTGATTAATTTTCAGTCTAGGCGTCCTTATAATTCCCAAGT